CTTGTCTTAATGTCTTTTAATTAAATCAATTCATCAAATTATTCAAATTTATTATTTTTTGAAATACACGAGAACGTATTATAGGTTTTAAAAATACATACATACAACATAGTGTAGGTAACATTCATTTACACAGAACACATCGATATTTTCCTATCCCTACATAATACAATACCTAAGTATTGGAATTCGCAAAGATAATTTTTAACTAACTAACTAACTAACCCAAACTAACACAAACCCCATATCTCACCCAAACTAACCCAAATCTAATTATTGTGAATAAGCCAATAAAATTCAAATGAGGTATGTGACTATGTGGGGGTTCTCGAAAACCTTTCTCTGGCCTGAATGCTCAGGTAGGTAGGGTAGGTTTAATCTATGGTTCAAGAAGAAATTTATTTTTTTCCTCGGTACAGAATGGCAATTTTATGATGTGTTTGTCAACTTTCCTGTTCCGTTAATAAAAATTATAATTTAAGAATTGATGTTTGTTTGTTCCTCTGTGTTGTGGAATGCTTTATGCGGTATTTTTGACATGAAACGCTCTTGGTGGTAAAAATAGCCTGTGGAGAAGACCAAATGCATAGTCGAAACGTCGGCATAATTTTGCCAGAAAGGGAGGTTTATTTTTTATTTTTGAAGTCCTAGACCCATTATCTCTGCTCTGTCGTTGGATGTTATGTATATTTTAAAAATTTGGTATACCACACCAGACTATCAAGACCAAGACCAATACCAAGACCGCATTTATTTTTCGAGACCAAGACCAAGAACTGGCCAGTCTTGGTCTTGGTCTTGCGAAGCTCTAGTCATTACTTAACGGATATAAAGGTCTGGAATTCAGAATAGACTCTACCTGACAAATTACCGTATATAATTCCTCATAGGATAGAACCTGCTCATCAATTATTTTGACGAGAAAGGATTTAGCGGCCTTGATAGAAAATGGGGTGATTTTCTGATCGAAGCCAGAGCGACAGTTGAGTCTGAAAATGCATAGATTCTCTCAACATTGATTTTATCGGAGTAGATAATTAGAATGTGCTGCATGAGCTTGCTAAGAAGGTGCACGGTGCACAATTCCAGCCGAGGAAAACGTACTCTCCGGACAGGGGCTACTTTGGACTTGCCTGCTACCAACGAAATCTGAACATCTTTGCTCGTCACAATTCTTAGGTAAACCACTGCGGCGTAGCCACGCTCCGAAATATCGGCAAATCCATGCATCTGGCATGAAACAACTTGTCCTTGAAATAATTCCCTACGGATTTGAACAGAGGATAAGACGCGAAGTTCAGCTTTGTACTGATTCCATTTGGCACAAACATTATCGAGGGGAGTCTGGTCCCATTCTAGACCAAGAGTCCATAAATGCTGAATAATATGCTTGGCGAAGAATGTGAGAGGGACAAGAAACCCGAGAGTATGACGCGTTTTGAACAATGTTCCGACACTATGTCTACAGAATACGAGAATGAATCACTGACAGCATTCCACTTGATAATTTTTACTGACGAGGTGGAGGCTTCTGGGTTGAAAAATAACGATTGTTCGAGCCTTTCTTCGGCCGGAATATTAGCAAGAAGATATTCCTAGTTATACCAGACTAAAAGAATTCTTGCAAAAGCAATGTACACACTCAAATCTGTTGCTTTAACCACAATTAAGAACTGTAACCAGTGGCGTAACTACAGCCTACATGGGGGCATTGGGACAGGTGCTCCCATAAGCAACCTCTCATGGGTGCTCGGAGCTCTTGTGGGGAATGCGGAAGTTCAAACATATTTAATGGTCCTTCCGTTCCGTGTGGTAGTATCTGTATCATGTAATTCAAATTTCCACAACTTTGTATAAGAATTATACAAGTGGTATTAGTCTTAGATTAGGAAAGTATTAGTATTCTGTCCTTTTATTATTTGTGGTCAGTTAATCTGAGGTCAGTTCTATGCTCTATTACTTTATATTGCTAATGTTGCTATTCTCCATCTCTATTCTTTGATAATAATCGGGACATGAGGTATTTTAGGACATAAAAGTACCAGGGTAACCTTACATTGCATAATTATTTTAGTGCGGAAAAGTGATATTTTCATGATCTGAAATGCGTGCAGAAAAAAACACTTTTCGCACGCTCGTAGAAAAAAATAGAAAAATATATACACTAGAAAATAGACGTTTTTAGGCGTGGCATCCGGAAAAAAATTTCCCTCTCCCCCTATAAACAAATTTATGAAAATATTATCCTGCACCCATGAGGTCTTACAAAAATCGGCGCCTCGGCCAGGTCTACCCTAGGCCCCCCCCCCAGGTCAGATGGCTAGTTACGCCAGTGACTGTAACGCTGGATCAAGTTCCGACAATGGAATTAATCAAAATAAAACTAATGTTAACCACAAAATCAATTCAAAACCCCCTTTTTTCTTGGCCAAAAATGAAAGTGGTCAGGAAAATTCAAATTCCAAACATAAAAGGGCAATATCATGTCCCTTATGTTCAAGCGCTGCTTCACCAAAGTAAGTCCCCTGGGGATAGACTTACTTTGGTGAAGCAAAGGCGGTGGTGCCCTAACTGTCTTCATATATCTCACGATTTTAGAGGCTGTGGTTCCAAATCAGTTTGCAGAATCTGTTCGTCAAGAAATCACCACTCATTGCTACACCAGAACAATTCCAGTATTATTTCGAACGATAATTTCAATTCCAACACGCAGCCCAACGCTAGGAATACCAATTTTAATTCTAGCCCTCAATTCAATAATTCAAATTTCAACCCTCAACCTAGTAATCCCAATGCTACCCTTTGTTTTAATTCGCAAATGAGACCAAGTCAGTCTTTTTCAAACCCAACCTTCGAAAATTCTGGTTCGATGCAAAACCCCATGCACCAATTCGCACACCCGCAAATGCGCTATAATTCAGCTTTTCATATTTCGGGTAATCCATCTGATTCTAAACCCATTCAGGATTCCAACTTCGCACAATCAGGTGCTCAGATTCTGAATATACAGCCCACACAAAACGTATCAATTCTTAGGCATATTATGACATATAGCACGTGCAATTCAATTAGAATAAAAGAAAACAAAAATAAAGAGAAGAAAAAAACGAATCAATTTCCATTCCCGAATAGGATTTGAGTGATTTGACATCCTAAATACCCAATTTAACCTACAACTATATACTGGGCGCATAGACGAAACTGAACACCTTTGGTAGGTGTTCGTCTAGTGCTTGTGTTCCAAACTTTAATAATTCAGCTGGCATGTTACCCGGTCCAGGAACCTTTCTGTTTTTTCAGCCTTTGCATGCGTCTTTGACTTCTTTTATGGATATTCTGATAGGTGAGGCTGAAACAGATATGTTACTTCCGTTCCGTTCGGGTTCCTTAAATTTGTCTCGATCTTCTTGCAATAGTTCACTGAAGTATTTGTCCCATTTTTGTGATGAAATGGAGATATTATATCTGTCTTTTTCTCTTGACATAGTGACTTTAATATTTTCCAGCTTTCTGGGCTTTTTCTTCCTCCAAAGTATGTTTGGATTGTTATACATCTTCTTTCCAAAGATTAGTTCAAAAGTACATTATTTCATAAGTAAATTGAGTACTACTCACCTTTGAACCTTTGTGGGACGAGCGGAGCGAGTTCCGCAGCAATTAACTCATTAATGAGTCGTTTTGATATAAAAATGAGGAGTTTTTGAACTAATCAGTGAAGATTCTGACCTGGAAATAAGTGAGTTTTTGAACTAATGAGTGAGTGATTTATTCAGTAATAAAAACATTTTAGAGTTTTTGAATAAAGACAACAAAAAATCTTAAAAAATTGGAGAATTCAGAATTTTTAGAACTGAGATTCTTCTCAAAAGCGAACTCAGAATCTTAAAGATTCCAGAGTCTTTGAACAAATTCAACAAGAAATCTTGAAAATTTGCAGAATTCAAGATTTGAAAACTCAATTGCCAAAAGAGAACTCAGAATTCTAGAGTTTTTGAATATAATTTAAGGTGTTGTTATCAGGGGAACGGGAATAACTCTTGAAGAATCTCACTAGTAATCAGAAGATGAAGAATCAAATAAATTCTAAAATTCTAATAACGCAACTTTAAATATTACATGAAGTTCTATATTTATAAAATATGCCCAGCCACTGTCAATTTTATGAACTTTTTACTTTCGTGAAGTAGTGCACCCTTGTTTTGTTGAGTATTTATGGCTATATACTTTTATTAGGGGCAACAAACTTTTCTTGGCATGACAACAGGTGGTCAAAAATAACTTTTTGGGCCAATTGGCTCTGGACACTAAAAAGGGAGCTTTATTGTCGAACATCATTCGAGAAATGGATTATTCTTATACTTTATTGAATATTTCGGAAAGTTAATATATAAGTTGTATTGTTTTGGAATTTTATGCTAAACATGAGCTTATATTTACGTCATAGGTGAGGTCAATAATAAAAGATTTATTTATCCAAGAATTATTCATTATTTAATAAGTAAATTGATAAACGGTTCAGAGGCACGCGCTTCCGACAAATAACAATTTACCTCAATAATAATAACGATACACACAGCGAGCCGAGAATAATACTCGGTTTTGGAACATGAATGTGAGAGAATGTTGGAGAACAATAAAGTCCTGATTAAACAGGCTTGATTCGAAGCCGGTTAAAATTAATTTACTCCCTATTAGCCGTTTATAATTATGTATTTTAAATGAAGCAGGGGCGATAATCCTTTTTTGAGTCGATTAGGCTTTAATTGCGCACAAGAGTTTTAGTTTGAAGTGCCTTTTAATTTAATTTACAATAATAATAGAGGAGATAATTCAACAAGAGTTGGAGTTAATTTAACTTGCAACATTGTACATTGTTCTCAGATTCAATTGCAAAAATGTAAACGTTTTTAAATTCCAGATTCAGATTGAAATTCTTGGGAACCCGGAATCCGAAAGAGTAATTATTATTCTTCTCAACTAATGGTCTTTTTTCATTTCAGCCTAGACATCTGTATTCGCCCCATACAACTTTTCTGCGTCAATCTGGACACTCTTTTGAAATTGCTACTGCCCTATGTTCCATTCTAATAGGAATAGGATATGATGCCTATGTGGTTTCGGGGTAAATATTATATTTACACATTTTTTATTTATTTCTGTGTGTACTTTTTTATATAGGTACGCAATCAAAGATGTGACCCTCAGAATCATGTCCCGAGTGGCGTGTCCGATAGAACCTACAAAGGAAGAAGAAGTAAAAAAAGAAGTTGAAGAAATAAGTCCAAAATATAAAATTACTCCACCGACCGATATGAAAAGTAAATTTTTACATATGATGAAGCAGCGAGAGTTGGATAAAATCGAAGAAGAAAAAGAAAAAGAGGCAATGACTGAAAGACAACGAATAATGGTAATTATACTGTAACAATAGGTCTGTTCGTTGATTGAGTAGTGCTGTTAAACTTACTCAATCAACGGTCTGTTCCAATACAACAAAAAACCGTCTCGGTGTATACGAATTTTGGATTCCCCGCACAAATTTTAGATTTTGCGCAGAATCGCAACGGTATACATTGTACGGTTTTCTGCTGTGTTGGAACAAAACTAATATTTTCGTTTCATATTCAACGGTTATTTAGGAAGAAGAAAAACGTCCATTTGACGAGCTTGAAGGCCAAAGGGTCCACGCCTGGATTTTTCTTGCAGCGGGATCCAAAAACGTCACAGAAAATATGTTTATTGAATCCAGCACTGGCATGCCGCATCCTCTGGATACTGATTTGTATAGTGGCATTGAGAGTGTTTGGAACAGTGAAAACTACTGGGTATGATCTAATTTATTTATATCTAGTAATAAAACTATAGGAACTTTTTTAAAACACGCCGTTCAATTTTTCAGAGTTAGTAAAGAATTTCATGGCCTATCAGGTAGAAATTTTCTATATTTTTTTTTAATTAGTTTTATTATTATTATTATTTAAACAACAGAGAGTGGTAGAACCGACAAAGCTGCTGTATACGTTAAGTTCAGGAGATTGCTTTTCTAATGAGTTCACAAGATATTTGTCAAGTAGTTTACACCATAATACATAATATCCACTCTACCCCTCGTTTTTATTCCAATCGGTGACTTCACCGATGAGTTGGCTATCTTTGTTTAGTGAATGGAAAATGATAATGACCGACATAAAATGGTGGATCCATCGGTAAAATTTGATGAGAATAAAAACGCAGGGTATTTTTGAAAGAGTTGGTACTGTGACTGTTACGTCACTTATCGAATTCCACGTATAGACACCCTATTGCACAAGAAGTTTTTTCAGAGAAGTTTAGAACATCTTTCTTTCTCTACTTCCCTAGAGTCCCCTCGAAGTTTGTGATTGTCGCTTAGAGTATACAGTGTGATTTTTTAAGTGTGCAACATATGGGGATTTTGTTTAGTAATAGCACAACCCAAATACAAACAAGGCCAAAAGTTGGTGCATGTCTGATAATCATATTAGGTGCACTTAGAATGGTTGCAAGTCAAACAGCATACAGGGTAGCTCAAACAATATCAAAGCTGGTACTGTAAAGTACCCTTAGTTTAAAAAATTCAGCAAAATGTTATAAAGAAAAGTTGTTTGGAATTAAAAGTTATGCCTAAATACCAAAACATAGCCTTCTAAGATTTTTTTTTATTTTCTTTTGAAAAAAATTTATAATTTCTATATTTTTTAATTTTTTATTTCCGCCCTTGAGACTTTCAAAAATTAATTAAAATCAAATCAATTTTAAATAACTTTGTTCAAATTCAAGCATATTTGTAAAATTAACTTAGATTTTTAATTTTTTATGGAATCACAAAATTCATGTTTGTTGCAATGATATTCAACACAACTTTAAAATGTCGCAATTTTTTCTCAACAAGTTAAAACATTACTAATGATAATAGCCATACTAAAAAAACTCTCCTTAAAGTGCAAAAGTTTTATTTTATTTAAGTAAATATTAGTAGAATTTTGATATTTTTTGACCCTGTATGCTGTTTGACTTGCAACCATTCTAAGGGCCGATACTTTTGCTCTCGATTAACGAATTTGATACGTTGTCAAAATTTTGCATGGGCCAAGGTCTATAAAGTATGATGTGGTTAGAGCACATTCTAAGCCCTGATTATTTTTAACGGCTGTCAAATGAGAGCTAAAGTACCGGCACTAAGTGCACCTAATATAATTATCAGACATGCACCAACTTTTGGCCTTGTTTGTATTTTGATTGTGCTATTACTAAAAAAAATCCCATATGTTGCACACTTAAGTAATGACACTGTATATACAGGGTGTCAATTTGAAAACTTCCCACCCCTATTATCTCGGAGGAGAAAAATTTTCGAAAAAATCCCTGAAACACGTCAACTATAATTTGAAGGGGGATGAGTCAGTGATGTCAACTCTAGGGATTTGTCCCTAGTTCTAGGGATAAATATGCAAAAAAAAAATTGTCTAGGGATATAGGGAAATTCTAGGAGGTTTTCTGATATTCCTAATTTTTCTTATACAATTTAATGAATTCTAAAAAAACGAATGGTACCTAATATATAGTATTAAATATTCTTTAAAAGATTGGAAGTGACCTTATTATTGGTTCGTCTGAGTAATTACATACAACATCTAACAGTAACAGTACAATTTTTGTATGTTGTGGAGTGCTCTTTGCCTTTCGTGTAAATGATGTGTGTGGGGATTCCCGCAACAATCGCGTCGAATCAGAAGACAGTTGTTAACAGTCTGTCGTCACTAGCTTTGTTTTGGTTTCACTCAAAAATAGTTCGGAATCATTCTGCACATGCGCATATTATAAAACGCGTTTTCGTTATTTCAGAATCGTAATCGAACTGTTTTGACAGTGTTTTGGTTTATCTAGAACCATTTAAGAACAAAAGAACAATTCTGGAATGGTCTAGAACGGTTCTCTCAGTTCTTGCTCTGAAGGAGGAACTGCTTCAAAATTTTGTGATTTGCGGCGTGTTTTGGTTTTTTCGGTTCCGAATCGGTTCAGAACTAGTATTAGAACATTCCTCAATTATTTTTTGTGCGCAATCTCAGAACCGTTCCAAATTTCGATCCAAAACAAAAGCTACTCTCGCCACCCCAACAGTGACGTCATAACAATATTTTATTGCTTTTGGAAATTCTATGTTGTTTTTTAAAAACTTGAGTCGCAATAATGATTAGTTTTGAAAATATGATTTTTTTTCTTGTAAATTGCAAGTATACATTACATATTACAATTATTATTAGGCTCCGTTAAAATAATTCTAAAATAAATTTGAAAAAAATAAATTCAGGGAATTCTAGGGATATATTTTTTTAAATCTAGGTATTTCCAAATCCCATCAGTTGGCAACACTGGGATGAGTTTTTATGCAAAATTCACCTTCCCTCTTTCAACCCCCCAGCCCCCAGAGCCACCCCCTAGAAAATTTTTAATGAGAAGGGGGGTCAAGTGATACATCATTTTGGAGGGTTTTTGATTCCATACATTTTGGTACAAAATTTTAATCCCTAAGCTTAGCTGTTTTGGAAATATTGACAGTTGAAAATTGACTTTTTGGAACTTTGACAGGCTGTAAAACCTAAAAGGTTAATTTTAGAGGAAAACCGATCTTACATTCTTGGTTTAGATTTTTATGAAGTATCATTTGACAGCAACTTCGAATTTAATCCACGATCAAAAATTCCGGTTGAAAATTTAATCTCCAGTTAAATTCAAAAATGGTGTCAAATGATAGTTTATGAAAATCTAGGACAAGTAAGATCGGTTTTCCTCTAAAATTAACCGTTTAGGTTTTACAGTCTGTCAAAGTAGCAAAAAAGTCAATTTTCAACTGTCAATATTTCCAAAATTGTTGAACTTAGGGACTAAAATTTGGTACCAAAATGTATGGAATTAAAAACCCTGCAAAATGATGTATCACTTGACCCCCCTTCCCATTTAAAATTTTCTAGGGGGTGGCTCTGGGATCTGGGGGAGGTGAATTTTGCATAAAAACACATCCCCCTCAAATTATAGTTGACGTGTTTTAGGGATTTCTTCGATTATTCCACTCATGTGTTAGAAATCCTATAAGACAAGTGACGATTTTCAGAATTACAGCGAAAATTCTCTTTTCCATTTGTTTAACTAGAGAGAATTACAGCGATAATTCTCCTATGTTATTGTATACATGGTTGTCATGCTAATTTTTGATACAAACAAACGGTCCTGATAGCAACCATTTATTTGTATTGATTGTTAAGATGTTCAAATCGTTTAATACATATTTATTTCCATATTTTTTGCATTCTCATACGTGAAATAATCCTCTAAATACCACTTGAGCTTTAAAATGAACCAGATAATTTTTCAGTCATGCGTGTTTTCTCTACAAATTTCACTCGTCCTACGGACTCGTGAAATTATAGAAAACACGCAATCGTGAAAAATTATCGGTAATTTTGAAGCTCTCGTGGTATTATCCACGAAAATTTTTCTACCCCGAGTTAATAGGGGTGGGAAGTTTTCAAATTGACACCCTGTTCACAGAGTAGTAATTACTCACTTAAGATTTTATAAGTTGTAAGTAAATCTCCTTGTAGACTCCTTCAGACGGTCTTCATATTATGTAAGGGCTTGGGTTTCTGATGGAATTTTAGTAGTTCTTCTCTGGACTCTTTCCAGTGCCTCAATGTCCTTAGCGCAATAAGGATTCCAGACTGACTGGGCATACTCTAGTATGAGTCTGATGTAGGACTTGTATATTTAGGATTATAGTAACTGAGTGCCAGAGAATTAGCCTTTTCAATACATTTTGAGATATTTGGTTCTGATTTTAAATTGTTGGTAACAATGACGCCAAGATCTTTATCCTCATTAGTAGATACCATCGCAATGTTAAGTTTGTAATCATATAGGGGATTGTTGGTGCCCAATGTAGAGTACATAGTGTATTTGTTTTCATTAAGGGTTATCATCCAGTTTTCACACCACTCGGATATCGTCAGTAGGTCAGATTTTAGGTCTTGACTGCTGGTAATGGGATTGCAGAAGACTTTGGTGTCATTTGCGAAAATTAACTCTAACCTGATAAGTTTGATCGCTTAAAAAATCTTGGATCCAACCCAATACGTTGTTACGTATTCCAAAATGCTAATGTCTGTATAAAATACAATTGATTGGAACTTTATCAAAAGCCTTTCCAAAGTCTAGCAATACGACGTCGATAGATTGTCCCTTGTCATTTATCTTCGTCCATAAATCCGAAGGTTAGTGAGTTGGTTTCAGTTGATCTTTTAGGCAAAAATACATGCTGTGAAAATGTAAGGATGTTATTTTCTATTCGAAAGTTTGTCAGTTTTTTGGCTACCACTTTTCCATAGATTTGCAAGTGTTACAAATAAGACTTACTTATAGGATGATAACTTTTTGGAAAAAACTTGTCGCCTCTTTTATGAATTTGGATGATGTGGGCTTCTTTCTATTTTTCCGGGACGCATTTTTGTATCGAGCGCCCAGTATACCGCATCGGGAAATGCCCGAAGTCGACACGTATCGAGCGCACGGTAATCCGACAACACTCGGACTACCGTACGCTCGATTCTTTTGGGCAGAAATATCTTGGTTTATGTGTATTTACCCCTTTATAAATAATGACGTATTGCTCGAGATAGGTGAATAAAACAGTAGTAAACTAAATGTCGTAGAAAAGAAAAAATCACTCCACATTTTACTGCTGAACTAAAAAAATATTTATATTACAAAATAAATTTTAAAATGTAAATATAAAAAATGGCTAGCAAGTGAA